TGATCGGGTCTGGTAGGAAAAGTGACTGAATGGCTTTCCATAGCTTGGAGTTGGTTCCTAGAAATTTGTGTTGTGTATCAGCGTACTGGGGCTTTGCCTTGGGCTGAGTGCTGTCCCTTGACTTTTTTGCTGATGTCTGGCACTCTACCACTTAAGCTACAGCCCCACTTCTAACTTTTTTGTGGTTAATTGGATATGAGTCGTATGGACTTCCCTGCCCAGGATGGCTTTGAACCACAATATCCAGCCTTCTTAGTAGCTAGAATTACACGTTAGAGCCACTGGCACCCAGCCCTGGAAACCTATTTTTTTTTAGGTAAATTTAGTAAGGACATTGATTCCTAATTAAAGGTAAAAAGTCAAACTATATTAAATAGCTAATAAACTGGTTTTATGATTCATTGTTTTCCTCCCAAGAGTCCGATGCCTATCGTCAGTGTGTACTTTTTCCAAAGTCCCAGGACCTTATAGGGATGGTTAATCAGTCCTTGTCAGTGTAGCTCAGTGACATGCTATCTCCTCAGTGAATGTAAAACCAGTCTCTAAGGGGAATGAGCTGCCACTCTTTTGTTGGAGTGCTTTCCTGCTGGGGTGGCAGTGATTGTCATTTGTTCAAATAGGAGGCCAATAATGGCCTATAGTGTTACAGACTGAGAGCTACAGTTCTGTTACACCACTGACTGAGCCAAAAATGAAGTAACTTAAATTTCTACACTCGCAAGTCAAAGACTAATGCTGTTGAGACCCTCCCAAAAAAGACTGAACATTTAATAAACATTTTTCAATGTTGGGAAGGTTTACTTAGCAAATTCTCTTTCCAAATATCTCAAAGGACCACTGCTAAATGTTTTCCATGGGAAGAATGTTCACTCTGGAAGGGAAGGCATACCTCATCCCAGACACTTTCAGCCTCATCTGTAGCTCTTTGGGAAGAGCTGGATGGAAGAGCAGAGAATTTTGAGAACATATTTCTACCCAATTTAATTCACAGAGCAGTCTTATTCATTCACTCTTATTCTAGTAATAAAATAGAGCCAAGGGCAACTTACTTTACATGAAGAAACATAAAAGGGGCCAGACTCAAAACTGTCAAGTTGTTTTGAAAAGGGAAACAGAGGACTGGGAAGGTGGTTCAGTGGTAGAGTGCTTGCCTTGCATGCATGAGGCCCTAGGTTCAATTCCTCAGCACCACATAAGCAGAAAGAGCCAGAAGTGGAGCCGTGGCCCAAGTGGTAGAGCTCCTGCCTTGAGCCAAAGAGCTGAGGGACAGTCCCCAGGCTGAGAGTTCAAGCCCCAGGAACAACGAAAAAAAAGGAAACAGAACCAGGCGCTGGTGGCTCACATCTATAATCCTGCATACTCAGGAGGCTGAGATCTGAGGATCACAGTTTGAAACTAGCCTGGGCAGAAAAGTCCATGAGATTCATCTCTAATAAACTACTCAGAAAAAAGTTGGAAGTGGCACTGTGGTGCAAGTAGTAGAGTGCTGGCCTTGAGCACAAAAGCTCAGGGATAGTCCCAGGCCCCAAGTTCAAGCCCAGGATTGGGGGAGGGGGGAGGAGGGGAGAGAAAAACAGATTCCTTGGACCTGTAGTATCTACATCAGCAAGTTTGAGATTAAATGTTCTATGTCCAATCAGGAATTTTTTTTGCACTAAAGCTCTACAGAGGAATTTAAACTATATAGTCATGTTTTGCATCTTTTGTGGGTGATTGCACCAGAGATGTACTTACATAAACTGAAATGATTATATCATCAAGTGATATAATCTTATGAGATGATTGTTATATTTGTCATCGTTGTTGACTGAAGTGTTGTTAATGAGGCTGATGGCTGTATTTTATTTTTGAAATTACATACCTTTGTAGGACACCTCTGTCAGACTGTTGTAGCCCTTGTGTCTGAGGACAGGGAATAATGGTTGAGAATAGAAAAGCTGTTTTATTTGTTTTGTAATTCTCTTTTAGATACTTATTTCCTGATATTGCTATGCACTCCACAGTGAGAGAACAGTATGAAATGCTGCTTTGCGGTTAGTGGAGGTGTATGGCCCAGGCAGTGTAGGTTTCAGAGGTTGCCTGGCTCTGCTTTCACACAGTTAGTGGAGGTGTATAGCCAGGCGTTGAAGGTTTCTGAGGTTGCCTCGCTCTGCTTTCTCGAGGTTAGTGGTGTATGGCTGGGCGGTATAGGTTTCTGAGGTTTCCTGGCTCTGCCTTCTTGTGGTTAGTGGTGTACGGATGGGCGGTGTAGGCTTCTGAGGTTGCTGGGCTCTGCTTTCTTGCTGTGTGTTTGTGTACATCATCTCTGCTCCTCCACAATGCCTGTTTTTCTTTTATCTTCAAGGTTATTCAGGTAGCTCCGTGGTAGATTTCCCAAAGTTGTATATCACTTGAAATCATTCCATCTGAGAAAAAAAGAACTTTAAAGAGAATCTGGATATCCCAGTCACTGAAAAAGAAAGTCATGAGAAACATTTAAGTATTGACCCCCTAACTATTAAAACAAGTGAGGAATTAGACTGTTAATGGCAGGGCAAGAGCTGGATCATAGTAACCATTTTTCCCACCATCAAAGAGAGGTTAAATAGTTTCCATAACATGGAATGTGGACAAAGTTCCTAGCCTAATACAGACTTAAAAATGCAGTTGTTTGTCTCTAGTGAGTAAGCAGAGTATTTAAAAATGCCCAGGCAGCCTTGGAAAATCTTGAGGGCTTTTAAGTTGTTGACAAAATATTTCTTAAATAAATCTGATTTAAGATATCTAATCATGGACAAAGTATTTTTAATCTGACATGTAACTGCATGTGATTTTTATAAGTGTTTTCTTAAAGACATGAGCATTTGTTGCTCATGAGCATTTGCAGCTCTTACGGTATTACTGTTATTCTCTTAAAAAAAACCATTTCTAAAAGCATCTTAGGGTAGCTTGAAGGACTTAATTATTTTAGATCTCAGCAGAGTTATAGATATGGTAGAAGCAAATCTTAGGTCTAATGCAGAACAGTTTTGTTTTTTTTGCTGGTCATGGGGCTTGAACTCTGTCTGGGAGTTGTCCCTGAGCTCTTTAGCTGAAGGCAAATGCTGTACCACTTCTGGTTTTCTGGTGGTTAACTGGAGATAAGAGTCTCATGGACTTTCCTGCCCGACTGACTTCGAACCACAATCCTCAGATCTCAGCCTCCTGAGCAGCTAGGATTACAGGAGTGAGCCACTGGCACCCAGCCATAACAGTTCTAAAGCTTAAATTTTTTTCAGAAAAAAGGAGGTGGCACTGTGGCTCAACTGGTGGAGGCTTGCCTTCAGCTGAAGAGCTGAGGGACAGCGCCCAGGCCCTGAGTTCAAGCCCCTGACCAAAAAATAAATTTTTTTTTTTAATTTCAGAAATACACCATCAAAGCTTTAGCTGAGTATTTCTGCTACGGTAAGTGTAATGGGCAACTATTCTTTTTTTTTTTTTTTTTTTTTT